GGGGGGGGGAAGAGAGAGAGACGGGGGCAGCCAGGGCTACAGCAGAGGTGCTGCCACGCAGGCCCTCCCACTGCGCTGCCTCCTGCCGCGAGGGCTCCGCTCCGGTCGGCGGGGAGGGAAGGAAGAGGACTGCCCTGCAGGGCGCTCTGGTTCTCCGTGCCGCCACCCCATACAGGGCGGCCGGAGCGGAACAAAACAAAACAAAAAAGCGGCCGTGCCACCCTAGGATTCGGCGGAATGCCGCCTCGAACCATCTGCCGCCCCAAGCACCAGCTTGCTCAGCTGGTGCCTGGAGCCGGCCCTGTATAAAATCATGACTGGTGTGGAGAAAGTAAATAAGGAAGTGTTATTTACTCCTTCTCATAACACAAGAACTAGGGATCACCAAATGAAATTAATAGGCAGGTTTAAAACAAGCAAAAGGAAGTGTTTTTTCCATACAACACAAAAGTCAAGCTTGCCAGAGGATGTTGTGAAGGCCAAGACTATAACAGGATTCAAAAAAGAACTAGGTAAGTTCATGGAGGATAGGTCCATCAATGGCTATTAGCCAAGATAGATAGTGATGGTGTCCCTAGCCTCTGTTTGCCAGAAGCTGGGAATGGGCAAGAGGGGATGCACCACTTGATGATTACCTGTTCTGTTCATTCCCTCTCGGGCACCTGTAATTGGCCCCTGTCGGAAGACAGGATACTGGGCTAGATGGACCCTTGGTCTGACCCAGTATGGCCATTCTTATGTTAGAGAAGAAACTGCCTGTGCCGTTACTATGTAGTATTTCATTGGGCATTTGCATTATTAATCTGTTCTCAGGAGAAGAGTGACTACAGCAATCTTGACTGCCATATATAAAAAAGCGACACCGAAAAGGTTAGCTTTACAGGACTGATCTGCAGTTGGAAGGGGTTGTGCTCTTTCTTGGCTTATAGAAGAGGTCAGCCAAGAAAGAACAAAGCAAGGACCAAACTAGACAAAGCAGCCATCTGGGAGAAGATAGCCTACTTTCACCTCACTGGAGGAATTCACTCATGGCAGTTCTCCAGTTTCCCAGCAGTGGCCATACAAAGCAATCACGCCAGTGCAAAAACTGGATCAACTCCCTTTTCATAGCAGTAGGTGGAAGGGTTTGAAGAATTAATTGCAAAGATCCTACCTACCTCCCAGTCAGCTCTACAACTCTAGTTCCACACCCCCTTTGTGTGTGTGTGTGGGGGGGGGGGGGTGAGGAGGAGAGGCAACACAAGAGAGGCTTCCACAGCATGGCAAGTTTCTGCTACATAGGTAAACTTGGAAGGATTTGATTTTTAAGGGTAAATATCTATTTCACCACACAAACTGATAGAAATATTTCTATCAATAATAGAAATGTACAGGTACGCAAAGAAAAATGCTGCTTGAGAATTTATCTATTTAAGTACACTTACTTTGTATATCGACATGTGATGTTGACAACTTGCATTTTAATGGTTAAGCTTTAATTTTCTGAATCTCAAGGTCTACTGTCATTAAATATTGTCTGCCCCCCCCCACTACAATTTTCTGCCACAGAAAATTGAAATATACTGCTACCTTGATATAACGCGACCCGATATAACACGAATTCGGATATAACGCGGTAAAGCAGTGCTCCAGGGGGGCGGGGCTGCGCACTCCAGTGGATCAAAGCAAGTTCAATATAACACGGTTTCACCTATAACGGGGTAAGATTTTTTGGCTCCCGAGGACACGTTATATCGAGGTAGAGGTGTAGATAACTGAAAAAAATACTTAATAGACCTAGCTGTGCATGTGTCTAAGCTTAAATTAGTCTCCCACTAGACACTTTGTTACTTATGTTGACCCTAATAGTCCTGCAGCAGCTGCCCCACAATACCAAACGCTGACTGCAATTGCAATCTCCACTGCCCAGGGGTAACAGACATCGGAAGGCCCATTCTCCTTCACAGCCCCATGAATTTTTGAAATGCCTATTCCTGATTGTCCATCTTGGCAAGAACACCTAGCAGCTCTCCATTATTGTGTAAAACTGCCCAGCTGATCATGCAGGCTACACATTCCAGTTGCGCTCCTTCTTGAGGAGACAGGAGATATTGGATCTCCTGGAGTAGCTATGGGGAGAAGAGGCTGGGCAAGCACCGCTATGGACCAGCCCTAGAAATGTGGATATTTACAAGCAGATTGCAAGGTGGAAGTAGGAGAAGGAGAACACAGGGACCAGCAATAGTGCCACATGAAAATGAAGGAACTGCATCAGGCTATCAAAAGATCATGGAGGCCAGCGGTCAGTCTGGTGCTGAGCAGCAGATCTGCCACTTTTACAAAGAGCTGCATGCCATACTTGCAGAGACCCCAACACCACCGCATATGCCTCTGAGGAGCCCAAGCCACAGGCCCTGGCATGAAAAGCAAGGACAAAGAAGAGGAGGATGGGGGACATGCGCCTGGGGGCCTGGACCTGTTTGAGACTCCACCACAGTCCAGACACACCTAGCAGTCGAGCATGGGCAAGCCCTATGCTGGGGAAGGAACCTTGGGTAAGTGTGTGATTGCTTTTTCCCATTACAATGATGTGCTGATGGTGCCCCAACTTAACATGATACAGCTACTGACTTTTCATTAATTTACTCGTATTAGAAGAGGCAGCAGTACAACAGAGAGACAGAGCTGTCATTTGCTTTTCATTCCTCTGTAAAATTAGGCAAGGGGGGCCATCTGGAGCAGTTTGTTTATGTACACAGGGATGTCCCTTGAATCCTTCTGAGAGTTCTCAAAGGAAACTTTCATGGTGGTACTCTGCAACCCTCTCCCAAAGGATTCTAGGTATGGCAGCCTTATTTTTTCCTCTGTCAGTCAGCAACAACTTCAGTAGGCACCATTGCAGTACACAGGCTAGCAGCATACAGGCCTCGGCAGCTTTGGGGTGCCAGCAAAAGCTGTGCTTTCTGTGCCTTTGTTACCCTCAGGAGTGAGATATTAGCTACAATCACCACAGTCTGTGGAAAATGGCCTGAGCATGCAGTGCAACTGCTCTATACTCAGTTTCATGCAACTAAGCAATTCCCTTGGCCCCTGCCATACCATATTCACCATGAACGGTGCTGTGAGTGGTACTGTACAGAAGCACTCCGAAGCAGAAATGTCTATAAGCATGCCTTGTTTAAAACTTCAGGGGAGCAAGGGAAGGGACTGCTCAATCTTCACTTTCACTTTTCATTGTGACTATACTGACAATGGCACCTCTATGTTTTATTTGCAGTTGCTGCCGTTGCAGCTTTGAGGGGTTCCCACTCCACACCCGTGGAATGCTTGAGACAGATAAGGAGGAGAAAGAAAAGTACTCGGGATGACAGGTTCAATGAGATCCTGCAAGCCAGTGCTGCATCAGATCGTGAGCAAGGGGCCTAGAGGGTGAACTCTGCAGATAGCCTGGAGAAGGAAAGAGCAGACATGAGAAAGGTCCAGGAGTTCCAGAAGGAAAAGGAGAGTCAGACACATCAGGACATAATGGGACTTCTCCGCCAGCATACAGACGCTGCAGACTCTTGTGGACCTACAGTTCAACCATCACGGGCTCATCTCCTTTTGCAGTGCATGGAGAACTCCATTGCAGTACCTCCTGACACCCCCCTTCACCATGGTATCAGGGGCCACAGCCCTATCCCTACCACTTGACCCTGAGCACCATTAAGGACAACCACAACTTCACATACACTGACCTGTGAAAGCCATGATTGAGGTGTAGTTAAAACAGTCATGAGTGTTCTTTCCCCTTGTTAATTTCTGTTCCATTAATTAAAGTTTTTAATGAATTTGCTTTTAAACTGCACAGATTTCTTTTTGGATTGGTTTTATTAGTGAATAAAATTCTAGGATTTATTAGTTCACAACATACGCTGCAGAGTGCCTAGAAGTTCTGAAAGCACCTACTTGTTACTGTACAGCATGACAACTCAGTGTCTGTGACAAACCGCGTAATCATCATAAATGTAAAATAAGCACCGCAAAATTAGTAAGTGCACTGATAGTGTTATATTCACAGATGTACACCATGCATCACACAACTCCTAACAGGCCCCAAAATAGCAAGACAAGGTAAAACAAAGTCCACCATAACGCATTACTGTGGCTCACTGTTCGAGTACTCTTTTAAGGCCTCTCTTAGTAGCATAGCTTTGCAATAAGCTCTAATAGCCTTTGTCTCTGGTTGCTCAAACTCAGCAGACAACTACTCCACCTCCACTGTCCAACCCAGTGGCAAATTCTCCACTTTTGCTTCACAAATATTACACAGGACACAACAGGCAGCTATAACCATTGTGATTTTTTTTCAATTCTGATCCAATCTAGTGATTAAACAATACCAGCATCCCTTCAATCTATCAAAAGTGCATTCAACTGTCATTCCGCACCTGCGGCGCTGGTAGTTGAATCTTTCCTTGCTGCTGTTGAGGTGACTGGTGTAAGGCTTCACAAGCCAGAGGACCAAAGGGTAGGTTGGATTCCCCAGGATCACTACTGGCATTTACCACTGGTGATATTTAATGGCTGGTCAGGAAAGAAAGTGCTTGCTTTCAACTTTCTGAACATTCCTACGTTCGTAAAGTTGCAAGGGTCATGCACCTTCCCTGACCAGCCAACATGGGTGTCGGTGAAGCAACCCTAGTGATCCACCTAGACTTGCATAACCACAGAAAAATAGTTCTCTGTTGAGGTAATCTGCTGTAAGGTGGTCTGGGGCCAAAATAAGGCTATGCATGCTGTCTATTGCTCCAGTGCAGTTTGGGAACCCTACTGCTGCAAATCCATCCACGATGCCCTTCAAGTTGCCGAGAGTCACAGTTCTGCATAGCAGGAGACGATTAAATGGCCCTGCACATTTGCATGACAACAGCCCCTGCAGAGGATTTTCCAGCTCCTATATGATTTCCCACTGACCAATAGCAATCCAGCAATGGAAGTTTCCACAGTGCAATTGCCACTCACTTCTCCACTGTCATTGCAGCTCTCATTTTAGTGGCCCTTCGTTGGAGGGCTAGGGCAAGCTCGGCACACAGCTAGAGAAATGTGGCCTTGCAAACCTGAAAGTTCTGCAGCTACTGCTTGTCATCCCAAACCTGCATTACGATGAGATCCAACCAGTCGTGCTCATTTCTCAAGCCCAGAAGTAGCGCTCCACCATCTAGAGTTGCTCTATAAACGTCACCAATAACCTTGCATTGGTTCTCACTACGTCCCACAGCAGTCTGTCCTTCACACACATCATCATCTTGTTCCCCGTTGATTCTGTTCTTCTTATAGCTCTGCCAATACAGAGGATTGTACATCCTGTGCTTGCAACACTTAGGACAATAGAGCAGAGCTGTGCAGGCTTCATGCTTCTACCAGATGGCAGACAGTGAGAATGCATGTAAGGATTTGTGAAAGTTATGGAATACAGATGACATTATGGGATGGAGACAGTTGCATGCTGGGAATTTGATCCCTTGCTCACAGTCATCCCTGTGAGACTCATTTCTGTCCTAATACGCCCTGCCAAAACATTCCCCAAAACAGCGCATTGGATGATGGTGGGTTTCACACTGGGACACTTATCCATAGTGTACTGCACTGTGCATCAACCCAAGCACTGTGGAAGTGCAGCAGCACTTATGCAAAAAGCCAAGTATGCACACACACAAAATGATATACTAACTGTGGCAGCTTTATGCTGACATAACTTCCATTGACCAAAGTTTGTAGCATAGACGTGGACTCAGACTTATCTTCCCTTGGTAGTTAAGAAAGGACAAACCCAATAACTAAATATAGAACAGAATACTGCAAGAGCTGAAATAATCTTGTATTTGAATCTGAGACTTAATTAGGCAAAAACGAGATTAAACCGATATATTAAGAGAAAGCTCTCCAAGTATCCACTCATCTTTAAAGTTACTTAAATATAATGTAAAAATAGAGCACTAATTTAAAATTTACCTTAGTTTTTCACTCAAGGATGATGAGAAGGTTTAAAAACAAAATCTAAAAAAGAGTTTAAATTACATAGGCTTTGTCTGCACCAGAATGAGTTTGCTGGTATAGCTATACCAGTAAACCCTCCTAACCCAGATGTAGTATATATTGGCCAAAGAGTGCTTTTGCCAGTATAGCTTATACCAATTCCCCAAATGAAATAAGCTATACCAGCAAAAAGACTTCTTTGCTGGTGCAACTGCATCTACAGTAGGGCTTTTGCAGGCATAGGGTGTGAAAAAACCACATCCTAAACTGACATAGCTATCCCAGTAAAAGTGTAGACCCATATAGTCATTGACTAAAGACAGGAATAATAGTGTCTGAAGTTCTTCTTTTTAAACATACATCAGAATATTACTGTCACTTTGGCCATGAAAAGAAATACTTTAAAGCATTTAGGAAACTTGCTGGGAAACAGACCTGGAATATCATAAAACGAAGTCACAGGTTTAGTGCACAGATTGATTCGAGGTGATCTTTTCCTCATTTGATCAATGAGCAGCTTCCGTTCATCATCTTTCAGTAAGGTTATGAACAGCTCATGAGAGGAAATCATGAAGACAAGTTGAAGATCTTCCAAACTCAAACACATATTCCTGAGTAAGTTAAAAGTTATTCATTAGCAGGAAGGTTACTTTGAAGTAAAATAAAAATTTTTACTGCTTACATATGACATTTCAGACAACTTTCTGTGATTATTAATAATGGTATTATTTCCATCTGCAGATAAAAGATTTCAGTCATTCCCTTTTGTGGAAAGCATACTGATTCGATTATTTATTTAAAGGCTTTTTTTTGTCAGAGCATATTCAGCTACAGCACAAATGTTAATAAATCTATCTCCACAACCTCCTGTAAGGAAGGTATTTTACTGATGGGGAACTGAGACACAAAGTAACAGATCTGTCCAAAGTCACAAGTTTGTGGCGATGGTGAATTACAAGAAAAATAACGATTTTTTCCCACTGTTATTTAAATTATAGTAAGTTTTTCTTTTTTAAAAATAAACCTGTTTAAAATGAAATCTGAATTTAATACAAAATGTCTTAATGCCTTAACTTATTGATCTCTCAAAATATCTAAATGAAAAATAACTATGCTTTTGGTGGAATGTTGATATTCAATGGGACATGGTAATAGCAGGGTACAAAATATATAAGAATGACAGTAGGCTGTGCTGGTGGGGGAGTGGAACTATATGTGAAGGAAAACAGTCAAATATAGTAAAAATCTTGAATGAATCAAACAGTAACACAGAATCTTTGGATAGAAATTCCATGCTTGAATAATAAGAGTACAGCAGTAGGAATATATTACTGGCTTCCTGACCAGAATGGTGGTGAGGATTATGAAATTCTCAGGGAGATCAGGAACTATGCACATAGAAAATAAAATAATGGGGCATTTCAACTATCCCCATATGGACTGGGTACATGCCACTTCAGGATGGGATGCAGAGATAATTTCGAGACACCATTAATGACTACTTCTTGGAACAGCAAGTCCTAGAACCCACAAGGGGAAAGGCAATTCTTGATTTAGTCCTAAGTGGCATATAGGATGTGGTGAATATAGCTAAACTGCTCACTAACAGCAACCATAATGTAATTAAATTTAATATCCTTGTGGGGGCACCAGGAGGGGGGATACCAAATAAGCCCACCACAATAGCATTTAACTTCAAAAAGGGGAACACTACAAAAATGAGGAAGCTAGTTAAAAAAGAAGTTAAAAGGAATAGTCACAAGAGTGAAATACCTGCAAGCGGCATGGAAGCTTTTTAAAAACACAATAACAGAGGCTCAAGTTAAATGTACACCCCACACAAACACAACCCTCCCCCCCCAAAAAAAAACAGTAAGAGAAAACAAAGAAGTGACACCATGGCTGAACAACACAATAAAACAATAAATGAGGAAGTTAGAGGCAAAAAGATACCTTTTAAAAACTGGAAATCAAATCTTATATTTCAAATGTTTGCTCCTGTGGTAACACCCACAAGGTATTTAGCCTGCACATCTTAAAAGGGACTATTCAAGTTAAAAGGCTCATCAAGGAACACAACTCACAATGGACCATGGGAGACGCTTATCTACACTTAATAGACTTTCATGTGATGGCCTCTGCTATGACTAAGCGAAATCATGCATGGACATGTGACTTACCCATGGGACTCCAATCATCATCTTGTTACCTGTAATTTTCCACAGTGAGAACAATGGGCTTCCCTTCATTTAGCAGAAGCTATAAAAAAGCCCTGGAAACATCTCCATTTTGCCTCTTTCCTGCTCAAACCTCTGGACTATCAACTTACACTAATGGGAGCATTCTAACCAAGTGATTGAGGATCTTCCAATGATTTGGAAGCAACCAGAGACTAAGTCAGCAGTTTATTCCATCACTGCTATAAGCCTGATCCAAGAACTTTGCAATTACTGTATGTATTTGATTCCTTTAACCAATTTTAACTCTCACCTTTCTTTCTTTTTATAAATAAACATTTAGATATTAGATACTAAAGGATTGGCAACAGCATGATTATTGGGTAAGATCTGAGTTGTATATTGACCTGGCTGTGTGGCTAGTCCTTTGGGATCAGAAGAACCCTTTTGTTTGATGAAATTTGTTTTAAATAACCACTCCTCATTAAGTCTAGTGTCTGGGTGTTGAATCCAGGACTAGAATACCTAAGGAGGCTGAATTTCTGACTTCTTGTTAGCCAGTGTGGTGAAACAGAAGTTTACTTTTGTTGCTAGTTTGGTATATCTCATGGAAGAATAACCACCAGTTTTGGGATGTGTCTGCCCTCTTTTCCCAGCAGCTTGTTCTGAATTTGGTGTTCTCAGTTGGGAGGCAAAGTGACACACGGGCCAACCAGTGAACTTAATAGGCTGCAGGTTTAAAACAAACAAAAAGGAAATACTTCTTCATACAACACAGGCAACCTGTGGAACTCATTGCCAGAGGATGTGGTGGAGGCCAAAAGTATAACTGGATTCAAAAAAGAATTAGAGGATGTCATGGAGAACAGGTTCATCAATGGCTATTAGCCAAGATGGTCAGGGATGCAACCTCATGTTCTGTGTGTCCCTAAGCCTCTGACTGCAAGATGATGGGACTGGACGACAGGCTATGGATTACTTGAAAATTGCCCTGTTCTGTTCATTGGCTCTGAAGCATCTGGCATTGGCCACTGTCAGAAGACAGGATGCTGGGCTAGATGGACCATTGGTCTGACCCAGTATGGTCATTCTTTTGTTCTCATTAAAGAGCCTTTATCAAAAACTGAGTTAAAGGCTGCTTTTTTATAAAAAAGAAAAACTGAACACCTAACTTTGGAGGTCGAGCTTTATAAATATGGTACAGTAGGTCATGTACTCTATTAAGGGATTGTTTTGTTTAATAAAAATAAATTTTATATGCTGTTTAATTAAATTCCAGTTACCATCCTAATGTGGCTTGACACAAATCATGAGCAAAAAGTTAATTAGTAAATAAGTCATCATTCACCATTTTCTAACACAGTAAACATGCATAATTCATTATTAATAATCTGAAGCAAATATGTAGCTTAATATTTTCAATAAATGTACAGAGTTATAGCATATGCTCCTAGTTAGCAAACCAAATCTAGTGTAAAGGCTGTTTAGTTTTAAATCAACCTGTTTTAATGGTTATATCAACCAATGAGAATGCAGTTTTTCTTAGAAGATTACTGCAGTACTAATGGAAAAGTTGATTAACATCAGTTATTTAAATTGAGGCTTTCTACTTGGTGATTCAAGTCATGATTTCAATTGCTGATTTCAATTGCTTTGGTTTAAATTAATCCACCCTTCTTGTGGCAGAACCAGGAATGGAATCCAGTAATTCCTAATCAGGTGCATTTTTTGTAAGGCCTTGTCTATATTACAAACGCTTTGCCAGTATAACTATATTGGTGGAGCCCGCAAGAAATGTCTACACATCGATTAAAAAAAAAAAACAAAAAACAAAAAAAAACTGTGGCTGGCTTGGGTCAGCTGACTCTGGCTCAAGGGGCTTGGGCTCCGGAGTTGAAAAATTGGTGTGTAGCTGTTTGGGCTTGGGCTGGAGCCTGAACGTCTATACAGCAATTTTGAGCTCTGCAGCCCAAGTCCTGTGAGACTGAGTCAACTGACCCTGGGCCAGCCGCAGTCATGCCACAGGTCTTTTATCCCCGTGTAAACATACCCTTAATGTAGATTCAGCTTATGTGACGAAAGGAGTTTTTCCTGTTGGGTTAGTAACGCCACTAATCTTGACAGAAGCACTCTTATATCGGCGTAGCTGCATCTACACTGTGTTTTTTTTTGCCGGCATAGCTATATTGGCTAGGGGCTTATTTTTCCCACAAAAATTAAATGCAACACATTTGTGTGCAAGGAGTTCAATCTCCTTTCTGAGCTAAGCTTTGCCAGAAGCTGGGAATGGGTGACAGACAGGGGATGGATCACTTGATGATTACCTGTTCTGTTCATTCCCTCTGAAGCACCTGGCATTGACCACTGTTGGAAAGCAGGATACTGGGCTAGATGGACCTTTGGTCTGACCCAATATGGCCGTTCTTATGTAAGAATTGATTGTGATGTATGGAGTGTTGCATGAGTATTTCTGATTAATTATCAACAGGATTTTGAATATGTAACCCTTGGGGTGAGCCAGCAGTTGAGCACTTTCACAATGATCCAAGAGATAGTTCCTACTGTAGCAACGGAACAAGGGTGTGCTGTGGATGGGCATCACGCTCAGGCCCGGGGGAGGAAGCATCATGCATTTCTCTAAAGTGACCAACCCCTATGCATTATTCAGAAACATTCATCCATGAGTTCTAGATGAACCCACATCCAAGTATCCTTTGCCAGAAAGCATGGGACACAGGGTCTTGAGAGCAGAAGTGGGAAAACAGGGATGGGTGGATAAGACAACTTTGGGAGGTTTATAGGGGATCCGTGGGTAAAAAGAAAAATGTTGCCCTTTTTGTCTAATTTTTTATCTGCAAGTTCATGAAACATTAACATACCAAGGTAGTATCTATACACTGCACAGTGAAAGTAGTCTGTCAGGTACTTACTTGAGAAAAGCTGCCATTTTTCTTTTCAAAGATTCTGAAGCATGTTCTAAGTTTATTGACCTTGAACAAACCTAGAAAATTTAAGAGTTAAATCATTAAGCATCACTAGGAATTCTGAATTTTCATTTGGTTATATAGAGTATTAAGAGTTATTTCCACAATTTTCTGTTCATGCTCTAGTAGTAATCAACGTCACACTAATTTTCTCTCCCTATGGAGGGAGGCAAGCCATCTAATTTAGCCATCCTCCAAATACTTTGATGTTACAGTAGGATCAGAAAGCCAATAATTAACCCTGTATACAAAAGAGGTTATTTTGATCGCCATGTGATTCATTACATGCTCCCTCTAATACCCAATTCCCTTCCTGAGCCTAAAGCTTGTGTCTGTAAGAGCCAAATGTGAAGATTACATCATCTATGCTGCTAACATCACTACAAAAGCAACAATCTAGCAAACTACAAAAGCAACTGCTATGTAACAATCAAGTCCACTTAACTGAATGAATGATAAAAGTGAAATATTTAGGTGAGCCAGTTCTCTAGGTTCAAAACCCCTGTGTATCCAATGTTAAAAGAAACTTAAGTTACTCGGGAGGGCTGGGGGATTTTTAAAGTAAGCAATTTAATCATTTTATTACATCAGTTTGAAAAAGATAAAGCTTGTTTGTCAAAAATACATTAATTTCCATTGTCAACTGGGCATAGAGACTACTGCTGGATCAGTGGGGGCTGGTGCACAGTGCACTTTTATCTCGTTTTTGCTATAGGTGTCAGGTAAGTACACCTCTACCTCGATAGAACGCTGTCCTCAGGAGCCAAAAAAAATCTTACCGCGTTATAGGTGAAACCGTGTTATATTGAACTTGCTTTGATCCACCGGAGTGCGCAGCCCCACCCCCCCGGAGCACTGCTTTACTGTATTATATCTGAATTCGTGTTATATCGGGTTGCGTCATATCGAGGTAGAGGTGTAGTTACTACTCATGGCACAGGAAGTGGCTTATGTTAGCAGACAAAGAGAGACCTGAGAATCAGCAGCAGAGCGATAAAGAGAAATGAAAGAGCATGAATTCAACTCAGGCACAGCTCACTACCTTCCAAGGGCTGCAATAGGTGCCACCCACAATTAAAACCCACATGTGCAATAGCTCAGAGAAGCTTCATTGGAAGAGTTGATTAGTCTCTAAGGAACTCTGAGAGGAGAGAGAATTTAAATGCTTTTTTTCAGCAAATCTGTTTTTCTAAACTTTATGCTGCTCTTACACAGACCAGAATTTTTAAAGAAAATGATCAGAGCAACTGAATTGAGTGGCTATCACATTTTTCCCACGTGTTTTCAAATGTGAGTGCTCCTTACAAGACTGTCAAATTAAAGTAAGCTGGAAATCCAAGATTTATGGTATTTCATCATCATTTATACAGTTTTGTTTTAAAGGGCACTTTTCTTTTATGTTCTTGCATTTTATTACACTGCCAGTATTGCTTATGATGTTATTGACTGTTGCCAGGAAACCTAGAACCACCTCAAAAAGCAGTTTTGCCAGGTGATTTTCATAGGTTTTATTTGTAAAACTATAACCTATTACTGATTTGGGCGCATAGGCAGTTTTAATTTTAGCTTAACGCAAAATATCATCTTAAAAAGTTGAACTGTAAAGTTTTAACTACCTGAAAAAATACAGGGTTATATGCTAAATATCACAAAGTGTAAAGGCAGGAGGGGCATTTAATGTAAGTGATTAAAACAAAACCCTTCAAAATTTGTGGCCTGCCAACTCGTCTCCATGAAATAATCCAGCATGCATTATACTGGACATAGCACAAAGTACCATATGTGTCAAAACCAAAAGGAAGGAAACCAACAAAACCACTAGAAGAAAGAGGATATGGGGCTGAGGTAGGTGAGTTTTAAAAAATGGTTTTAGGGTAAACAATAACAAGCCCAAAGCTACTTAACAAGGGAACGAAAACCCATTTCTTTAACTCCCTCAAATACACCTCTACCTCGATATAACACTGTCCTCGGGAGCCAAAAAACTCGTACCGCGTTATAGGTGAAACCGCATTATATCGAACTTGCTTTGATCCACCGGAGTGCGCAGCCCTGCCCCCCGGAGCACTGCTTTACCATGTTATATCCAAATTCGTGTTATATCGGGTCGCGTTATATCGGGGTAGAGGTGTATAATTAAACTCTGTCCTTCAGAAGGATTCCATGCTGGTTGTGCAATCTCTGGCATCCTGTTTGCTGGGACAGCAAACAGAGTGAGAGACAGTTGACTGCCACTTCAACAGTCCTTAAAAATAGCTACGCTTTTGTATTGAAATTGGATGTCTTCCTTTTCCATCAGCACATAACAAACGACCAGTACCTGTACTCTTAGGAACAGTCACCTCTGTAAGATGTTATGTGGCATTCAATTCTTGATCCCCCAGAAATCATGTCCCCATTTTAAGCAGACTCTGGCTTCCAGAAAGGGTATGGTGGAATGAAGATCCCTCCCTTGACCCTGCCCAGCTAATGGGAGGGAAGGGAGGGAAGAGAGGGCAGAGTCTCAACTTTCCCTTTTGTCCCCCAGTAACCCATGATGGTGTATAGGGGAAGGGCTGCTCTTCAATATTTCTCCTCTACATTATGAAGGGGTCCCCCAGCTTCTATTCTTCCAACTTTTTCTACCAGACCCTGTTGGGAAGTTCAGAGGGAACCCCCCCCCCACCGCATTATTCTTTCCAACCTGTAGAGAAGACCTGGAGTGAAGCCTCTAGTTCTTGTTGCTGGGTGGGTCCTAGGAAAACACTCCATAGTTCGCTGCAAAGGTCTGAGGAAGGAGAGACTTCCTCCTAGATCGGGGTGGGCAAACTTTTTGGCCCTAGGGCCACATCTGGGTATGGAAATTGCATGGTGGGCCATGACTGCTCACAAAATTAGGGGTTGGGATGCGGGAAGGTGCTCTGGGCTGGGACCAAGGGGTTCAGAGGGCGAGAGAGGGAACAGGGCTGGGGCAGGGGGTTGGGGCATGGGAGGGGGTCAAGGGTGCAGGCTCCGGGCGGTGCTTACCTCAAGCAGCCTCCAGCAGCAGCAGCAGCATGTCCCCCCCTCTGGCTCCTACGCGGAGGCGTGGCCAGGCGGCTCTGCGCACTGCCCTGTCCGCAGATGCCGTCCCTGCAGCTCCCATTGGCCGCGGTTCTCGTTCAATGGGAGCTGCGGGGGAAGAGTGCAGAGCCCCTAGGCTGCCCCTACGTGTGGGAGCCGGAGGGGGGACATGCCACTGCTTCTGGGAGCCGCGTGGAGTGGAGCAAGCCCCTGACCCAGCTCCCCGGCAGGAGTTCGAGGGCTTGATTAAAACATCTGGAGGGCCAGATGCGGCCCCCGGGCTGTAGTTTGGCCACCCCTGTCCTAGATGCTCCACTCTCTGGCTCCTGCAGGGGCACTGGGGGATGGGGAAGAAACTTTTTAAACCTTCTTGGCCACTTCTCTGCTTCCCACTTTAGCTCCACTGAAAGATGGTGAGGAGAAAAAACACAAAACACACTTCCCTGTCTGCTCCTTCCCTCCCCAGCTCAGTGAAGGGGTCTTGGAGGACATCAATTCCCTTCCCCTGAACGCTCTTCTACTCCCCTCTCTGGCTCCTCTATACATTTTCCAGGACAATTCTTCATAATTTAGAAATTAAGATAAATATTTTTTACTAAAGAAAAAACAGGGCAACATCGAATTAAACTTGGAAACTTTGGCAGCTTTGCTGCCACAGTGTTTGGCGAAATGGGTACCTCTGTTCCTGAGTCAAAGAAGTGAGTCAACTGAAGAAGTGAGGTTCTTACCCATGAAAGCTTATGCTCCCAATACTTCTGTTAGTCTTAAAGGTGCCACAGGACCCTCTGTTGCTTTTTACAGATTCAGACTAACACAGCTACCCCTCTGATACTTGACACTCAGACAGAAATTAGATTTTTCAGTTAACAGTGTCCTTTCAGTCTCGAGAATCACATCTTACCTCAAGGAGAAAGTCTATTTTCTCTTTGTTCGGTTTAAGAAATAGCTGGTTAAACTGAATACCAATTGCTCGACCCTGCATTACATCACAAACAGTGTTGCATGTACAGATTCTGAAACAGATTTCATCTAGAGCATCATTCCTGCATGAATACAAAAAATGCAATAAGATTACAGACCTTCTTTGACAGCCATGCAGAGGGTGTCTAGACAGGATAACAGATAACCACCAGCATTTTAAGCACCGTGTTGTCTAACATTGCTTGGAACATGTCTACATGATAGTGTTTAAAAATGATTATTTGTATTACAGCAGTGCCTCGGGATCTCAGTCCTGGATCAGGGCCTCTCCCAGCATTCTTAAGAATGCTCACGTCTGCTCCAGTGCCATGGGCTTCAAATGGTTTGCCTGAACAGTTATGACTAGAGCAGCAGGTTTTGGGAAAGCTCTTAAAGGGCATTAAAGCTTAGAGTTAAGTGAAAAAGATTTCATAGATGTTTTCGTGTCCATGTTACCCTTCTTTATAAGAAGTTCTGTCATTGTGTGACTGTAGTGAAATACATGCCTGAGGAATCATATTTATACAGAATGTTCAGTTTCTCTCATCACAAGACTGACCTTCCTCCAATTAATTACTTGTGTCTGAATTGTTCAGACAGTTTCTGTGGAAAGCATTAACAATATAAAATTGTTTTTTTATTTTCCAAGTAAGATTCATCAGTCAAGTTGACAGCAAGATCTCTGGGGGGAGGGAGTGACTTTGTTCTATGTTTGTACACCTAGCACAGTGAGGTTCTGGTTCATGACTGGTGCTCCTAGGCATTACTGTTATGCGGCTGCGAATAAATTAAATAATGGAGATATCCTATCTCCTAGAACTGGAAGGGACCTTGAAAGGTCATAGAGTCCAGCCCCCTGCCTTCACTAACAGGACCAAGTACTGATTTTGCCCCAAATCCCTAAGTGGCCCCCTCAAGGATTGAACTCACAACCCTGGGTTTAGCAGGCCAATGCTCAAACCACTGAGCTATCCCTCCCCATCCACGGTAGGTGTGCTTGCGTCCCTGCGCTGCCAGGGCCGGCTCTAGGTTTTTTGACGTCCCAAGCAAAAAAAATTTTGGCTGCCCCCCATCCCAGCCCTGGGCTCCTCGCCACCCCTCCCCGCACCCTCCTTCCACCGCAGCCCTGGGTCACTGGTAACTCGCTCCCAGGGCAGGTCATTCAGCAGGAATTTTAGATGTGGACAGAACACAGACAGGATTGGTTCCCATATGATTACAGAACTGCAGTAAAGTGGAACAATTTTCAGCTTGTGTGATTGGAGGATATCTGGATGCATATTATAAGACTGTCCTACATAAATGAGGAAAAGTTGAGGTGCCTTTATTATTCTTTTGTTCCACTCTTTCTTTCTATGGGGAATTTGCCAATGCAATATTACGGTCTTCCTTTTAAACAAACAAAAAAAAAGGCAATGGCTGTTGAAAATAGCAATTCCAGTCCTAATAACCACTAGGAAGCATTTCTTGCTCAATTTTATCCTACTTTTTCTATAGCAAGTTACAGTATATCAGTATATTTGATTTAAGAGAAATGAAGTAACAGCCACCCAAACTGAGCTTGAGCACTCCTGAATTTTGAGGTGTTCAAATCTGGAAGGCAGGTGCTGGGGGGGGCGCTGTGGCTCCGCAGGGGAGCACAGCAGCATGTATGCAGCAGCTGCGTGTCTGGCGCTGCGCAAAGCCAGACACGCTGGTCTGAGTTGCACGGTAAGGGGGCTGGGGGGTTGGAGAAGGGGTAGGGGGTTCCGGGTGGGGGCAGTCAAGGGACAGGGAGCAGGG